CGAACATCCAGCCACTTTTTTTTTTTTTTTTTTTTTGGGGGGGGGGGGGGTATCCTTCAGAACCCCAGACTGAAATCTTGACACTCAGTGACCTAACGAGTCACTATTTCTATTCCATAGCTAACACCCCAGGAATCACATCAATCTCATTCAGCCCTATAGCATAATCTATATATATATAAATCAATGTTTGTGTGTTTGTTTATGAGCTATAGACTCGGAAACTAGTGTACCGATTTAGCTGAAAAATTTCAGGATATGTTTGTTTTGATACCGGATGTTCACCCACTATGGTTTGAAATTCAACCTGTCATTGTTAGAGATAGTGTGCGACAATTTTTGAGAAAATCTTCGAAACTAATATTTACATTTTTAGTGACAGTTTAATTATAGCCACGTTAGTAAATGCGTATGCGCCGAAGTCAGAACGCAAGACTTCCACCATTCGCCGGCGAGATACGTACAGCCATCACCTTCTCTAACAAATAGAGTAGGCCGTGGTGCAGCAAACAATACTATTTCTATATCTGTGCAGGCAATGATTGCCACAATAACCATATTAAACACGATTTCTATTTTCTGTATTTTTTTTCAAACAACCTTCGATGAGTTGGAAAGTAGCCGATGGATTGGAAGTGAAAGGGCCTATCTCGACGTCGGCGCAGACATTGACTGCGACATTAACCGTGTTAGAAACGTGCGATTTCTATTGTTGTGCCGTTTCAATAATATATCTGGAATATCTGTCTATGAGAAAACAACTGCCTGCTGTTTTGAGTTGTATTATAATCGGGACACTGTAGTAGGGACACACATCTAAAATAGTTTTGTTCTCTTTTCGTTTCTCTGATGAAGTCACTGCTTGGTCGAATGGTTAAAACACTGGGCTCATGTCCGGCAGTAGTGTTTTTTTTTTTTACCCGGGGCTAAAATAAAAACCTCACCTGCGACAGCACTAGCCATGTGGCCCTTAATACTAAAAGACCAAAAAAAAAAAAAAAAAAAAAAAAAAAAAAAAAGGACAGGTATGTGGGTAAATCAGTTGATAATTAAATTTGACCATTTCGAATACTTATGATTTTATTTTTAAACTTTACAATTGCATGGTTACGCTGAAATTTCATAGCTTTCCATTTATTTTCATTTAGATTTAATTATTTCATCAGCGTTGGAATTTTAAGCTGTGCTGTTTAACATAGTGTTCATTTCCTAATTATGGTGTATTTTTCCTGTTTTCATTTGCTTTTCAATTGGTGTTTTTTTTTTCTCCTAACTACTTCAATGAGGGAAAGAGTAGTCGGTGAATGGGGGGGGGGGGGGGGGGGGGGGTTACAAACTGTTTACTGAGAGAGCTTTAAGTCACAGTAACTGCTTTACCCACTTAAAGTAGCAGCAGCGGTAGTAGTTGTGGTTGGGCTGTTACACTATAGTGCTCTCATGTGAAGACCGCAGGTAATGTTATGGCGTTCTTCTGTCGTAAAGCGAAATTATACATCCTAACCTGACCAGTCCGTGGCGACAGCACTAGCCATGCGGCACCAAATCTTCTGGCTCACGACTCCCTGTCTACTCCAATGGTAAAACAGACAGCATTGACATTATTTTAGCTACTGTGGTAGTGGTCGTGGTAGTAGTTGTACTGGTACTTGAAGAAATATGTGGTAAATATTACACTAGCCCCATTCACTACCTATTACAATTCCTGCTCCCCATTTTAGTCCGGATGGACAGGGATGTCAATGTCAGTTACAACAACAACAAAATATCGCCAGGGGATGATTTTCAAATCCTTCGAAGCGAGAGAGAGAGAGAGAGAGAGAGAGAGAGAGAGAGAGAGAGAGAGAGAGAGAGAGAGAGAGAGAGAGAGAGAGAGAGAGCAGTAGTCTGTTGAAGAGGGGAGGGGAGGTGTATAATGACCTAAATTTACGAGAAGTTAAAGAGTTTTACACGTGATTTTCAAGTTCTCATTACTTAATTTGTTAATATTTTACTAACGCTACCTCCGCTATTCAATTTTTTTTACGACTGACTTTGTTATTTACAAGTACAGCTGTAGCTTTACTTCCGTCTCCTATAAAAATACAAACAGCTTCAGCATGTGATAATCAAATAACCATTTTTGTTACTGTGCTAATAACACCATTTCAACGACCACTAATATAAAGACACAATTATATGGTGCGTTTTCTAAAGTTGGAAAACCAGACTGTCTCTATATCTGTGGAGAAAATGATTGCGACATTAACTATATTATTCACGAGCGATTTCCATTGTCTTTCTTTTCCAAAAACCTTTGTTTGATGAGGGAGAGAGTAGTAGGTGGATTTAGTTGTGGGGGGGGGGGGGGGGGAGAGGGGGAGGGATCATAGACTATTTCTATATCTGAGCAGATAATGATTGTATTAGACACGTGCGATTTCTATTTTCTTTCATTTCTATTTAGCCAAACTATGCCACAGCAACGCGTGGCCGGGTACAGCTAGTGCAATTATATTATTTCATCCAAAACCGCCAATTACTTCCTTTGTTATATCATTCACTTTTACTGTGTAGGCAGGCGAGTCTTTCCCAAGGATATAGGGCCTCAGTACTAGTACTGTCGCCTCGGACTGTGTATTTTTGCCCCCGATAGAAAAAATAACACATCCCTATCCGTATCCAAGATTCGAACCTGGATCTCCCGCATAAGCCACCAACCTTCCAACAGTTAGGGCAGCATATCAACGCCCACCACGCCTGAAGTTAGTTATTCCATAATAATTTGCCGCTTATGACATGCTTGCTAGGGAGCGGTAAGCCTTAACATTTTACCCTCCTTAACCCCCCCCCACCCCCCCCCCCACTCCCCCTCCCATATAACTTCAAATGGAGTCAGGAACCAACAGCGGAAAGAAGGCGGATGTAAACAGTTAACATAATATAAATTCTAGCGGTGGAACCGGATACCTGTAAAAATGCCGTCTACTTTCAGAAAGAACATTGTTCTCCGACAATTGAACAATCAGACACACAAACGTGTATCTAGAAACCATAGCCTCACAATAAATATTCAGTTTGTGAATCATGGCTGGATGTTAGAATAGTATCTAGAGACCAGCTCTAGAAGATAACAGGGGTGAAGATAACAACTGAAAGGGGAGATACATTTGTCACTGACATGGAACACAACACAGTATAATCTTTTCAGTACCATACAACTCATTCATGAAAGTAATTGTATGAATGAAACTATCTTACATGTACTGTTTCTTGCTTTTTTTCTGTTCTGTCTGTCGTCTGTCTGTCTGTGTGTCTATTTTATTTCTGCAATTTTCGTCATATTTTTGTGTGTTTATTGTCTACATTTTAAACGCTTTCCTTTCTTTCTTTCATCAAGTAAAACGTAAGTAAAGATCCCTTTTCACACCTTTAGGCTATTGGGCATATGGGAAGAGCACCCATATTTTTACAGACCATCGGCACTAGGTGGGTAATGTGGTCAGCCGGCCGTATTTACTTCCCTAGGACATACATCATGGTACCCACTGGCTGGGTCGACCTGCGTGGCCCGGTATCATGATAAAAATCCACGCTTCTTTCATCAAACTAACATTAATTTGCACTTTCAGGTCCTCACCATATGGGATGCAATTTTTAACTATTTTGAAGCCTCACCCTAGCTTTTGCCGGGTGCCCTAAATCTAACCGGGCCCTTAACTATGGCCTAACGGCTGAACGGGGTTTCCGGGACCTCTCCACGGGTGATCATTATCTGCTTGGTGACACTTTGTGTCACCAGGTGTTTATCGCGTGTATGATGTCCTGGTGGGGTACAATTTACCTACCTACTTACCTACTTTGTTCTAAAACCTTTATCATCCCCAATGTCATAGATAGACAGTTATAAATTCATTGTAGACATAGATAGTTAAACAGATTTGTGGAATGTGAGATTGGTCGGTGGATGCGTTTACAATGTAAAAACATATCTGCAAGAACGTTGAGAATTAGGCAAAGAACAGGCATAATCTGAAATCAGAGGTAATAGCAAAAACAAAACAAAAACGGGTATTGCCTCACAATGAATGGCAGTGTCGTAGTAAGAGCGTGTGCAACATATAGTCAGTTTCAAAACTCGTGTATGCATCAACACGAATTAATACATGTGGTCTTAGATTTAATGTGCTTATAATTCTATAATTTACAACTGCAGAGATACTGATGTTTTCTTCAAATGCTGAATTTCTCTGATCTGTCTTTAACTAATAATTTCTGTGCTCATTAAAAAAAAAAAAAATACAGACATTATGCGGAAATGCTTAGATTATCTGACGATCAGTTCAATTGTGCCTGGTAATTATTTTCATAGCATATTCCCCTTTCAATGAAAAATCCGCAACTCACGGGAGATTTATGAGGGAGATGACCACCTCAAAGTGAAACACGCATGACACGGGGTCAATCTGACGTTTTGAACAGTTCTCCTTACTGTTTACTCAAAGTTACTGAAAGCAGGCTGACTGACTACTTTGAATGGATGTTTATTTTTTTTAATTTACCGCAAATAAGAAAAACAAAATGAAAACTAAATGTTTGTTGACATTTAACAAAAAAATATTATCAAGCACATGATCATTAACAGGCTGCATGCCAAATGCCAACAACTGACACTGAACAGTTACGGAGTTACAGATTTTAAAGTTCGGCAAGACTTTTGGAACGGACTATAGATCACTCTCCAGACATACAATACTCACACTGTAACTGTACACGTCGCATGTTCTTGGCCTGTGGGATACGAGTCGGCAGTAATGAGTGCAAAAACTACTTGCTCCCTCTAATCTGCAAGGATACGACAAAAATCTAGCACCACGCACTAGCCAAGGGGTTGACTTCGCAAAATTTGTATCATCATCATCATCCTTACCACCACTCAACACTGCAATCATCGTCTTAATTTTCACTCTCAACATTACCAAACTTTTATGTTTTTTCTTCAAATTAAACACACTGCTTAATTAATGTGCATTTTATCATCAGTACATTGCCATTTATGTCATTCAAAGTCTGTTCTATGTCCTCATCATCATCACGTGTCAGGCAAGGATGGTTGTGGACATTATGCTTGGCCAAATCATGGAGTTATAAGTCTTAAATTATGTTCATATTTCTGTCCTCTTTCATCATCCTATTTAGTAGAAAGATCCGTGGATTTCTTAACTCTTAATGTATAGAGTAAGATGCAACAAAATTTTTTTGTCCTGACTTCGACTCTTTGTTCCCAACAGTTTACTTTCACACGCCATCATCTGACAAGACGAACTGTATCACCGAGCAGAGGTGATTTGTGGATATCCTGCTGTGTGCAGTCCTCTTTCCTGTGATATTTCAGGATATCCTGCTGTGTGCAGTCCTCTTTCCTGTGATATTTCAGGATATCCTGCGCTGTGCACTCCTCTTTCCTGTGATATTCCAGGATATCCTGCCGTGTGCACTTCTCTTTCCTGTGATACGTCGGAACGCTTGCATCAATCGCCATGACCGACAAGAATATGTTGGTGTCGTGTGCAGACATGTGGGTCAACTCAGATGGTGAGTCGTGTGCACGACACGCTTAAATGCCCACATTTCTGCCCTGGAATCTTCAGTCAGCCGTGGTCCCGCTAGCAGACAGGCCGAAGAACTTTTTTGCGGTCCCACTTCGTTAACCTAAAACTTCAATTGTTTGACAATGAGCGGAAAAGGTTTGTATCCTTGTTTATCTAGTGATACCTAGTTTGTCTGTGTTTCCTTCAGAATCATTTAGTCCAAATGGACGAACAGCCAGGACTTTCTTCTTCTTTTTTGAGTGTCTTTTATCCCCCAACGGAGCACAGGCCCTCAATCAACTCAGGCCAAGCCGTGCTATCATTTCCTCTTGCAGCAATCTCAGTCGATCTTTTCCGTATCTCCATATTTCACTCTCCTAAACCTATCCCTCTTATGCTTTTGGTCTGTCCTTACTTCTATGTCTCTGCTGGTTCCATTGTAAAGACTTTCCCCCCCAAAGCGTCTTTTGTTCACCTCTTGATTCAAAAGAGTTGTTCAGTTCTCTACAAAAAATTAATGGCTCTGTGATACCATTTAATTCTCTCTGTTCTGCGTAGGCACCAGTAAATGAACTACTTTAGTTTATTAGTAATTATCATAGTTGTTTTAAACTACCTTATGTGTTCTTCAATCACAAGGATGGTTTTCATTTTACTATTTCAGTTAATTTCATTTTTCTCAGAGGCATTATATTGCCAATATAGTGTCATTATGCGGTCATTATAGTGTCATTATGCGGTCATTATAGTGTCATTATGCGGTCATTATAGTGTCATTATGCGGTCATTATAGTGTCATTATGAGGTCCTTATAGTGTCATTATACGGTCATTATAGTGTCATTATGCTGTCATTATAGTGTCATTATGCGGTCATTATAGTGTCATTATGCGGTCATTATAGTGTCATTATGTGGTCATTATAGTGTCATTATGCCGTCATTATAGTGTCATTATGCGGTCATTATAGTGTCATTATGCGGTCATTATAGTGTCATTATGCGGTCATTATAGTGTCATTATTCTATATTTTTTTCCATCCATTATCCTTTTGGGCCATTACGTGTCATATAAGGTTCAAACTCTATTACTCCATTCAGTTCTGTCCTATGCAATCACTTCGTTACTTTAAGTGTTATCACTGCCTCATGTATATGCCAATTTGGTGTTATTATATTGTTATGATGAAAGCATTATGTTATAGTGTCTATTATACTTTGATTATAGCGTCATTAAAGATTCATAGTAGCAGCGCTATCGTGTCTTTACGATGCCATTATAATGTATTTAAGTGTCATTATAACGTCTTCATGGTGTCATTACAATTTCTGTCTAGTGTCCATAGAGTGATATAATAGTTTTCCCATAGTGTTATCATAGTGTGATTATAGTGTTTTTATAGTTACTTATTTTACGTTTTAAATGTAATGCTAGTGTTGTGTGGATTAGTTTGTCTGTAGAGAAAATTCACCAGTCAACAGGCCAAGCAGTCAAACTAGTCCTTGTAATATTTGACCCTCTCATATCCAACTTCCATTGGATCTCGCTAGCGGAGTTAATACATTTACCTCGTAATCTGAGGGGTATGAGTTCAAATTCTTTCCACGGCCCTCAAGTCCGAAAGCCATGTGTTCAAATTCCTATTGAGAATAGTATATACATCTCACCGGTTATTTTAGCCTAAAAATTTGTGCTGGAAAATGTTGTGGGAAGTAAAAATGGCCAACAAGATATTCACCGCATCGCCAGTTGACTGATGATTCTTATTTAAAAATATGAGGTTAGCCCCATATGCCCAACACTACTTCATGCAGAAAGGGGTTCCGTCTTTCTGTGCACCAAAAAATCTTTATTACAGAAACTTTCCTTTCAAGAAAGTTTTGGCAGAAAGTTTAGTGAAGCGTTGACGGAGTGCCCATCTATACTATAATCATAAACCCTTTTTGTATTTCGTGTATTCATTTTAACGGAAGTGTTAACTCATCCGAAACGCCCAACACTACACGGGTAACACTTTTGCCAACTGCCATTGTGGCTACAATGTGTAATTGTCGCACTGGTGCTCAGCTTTATGTCTAGTATCTTTACTTCTTGCGACAATCATTGAAAGTAAACTTTGGTGGGGGGGGGGGGGGGGAAGAGGGGTTCAAGTATCCAGAAGCCATGAGTTATTACCCTTTTGGCTCGGTGCTATGGATATCGCAAAACTTCGGCCTTGATTTTATGATAGGTAACATAAATCTGTGAGAAATTTGGCTTTTCTGCCTACCCCGGGCGTGAACCCGGACCATAAGGAATTCGTCATCCGGTCGCCGCGAAGTCAGGTTTACTTAGCGAGCCGGACAACTTTCGCTGTTTAGGAGTATATTAATGATAATGATGATGGTGACGATGATGATGTTGATGATAATAATAACAGCAATAATGTGATCAATTTTAACAAAATAGAACAATAATTTGAAATAATACATAAAGTATAAATAAATAGTTTTGCTGAAAGTTTCCATTCGTTTGTGAACGGGTCCCCTTAGCCACTCTACGTGATTTTTTAGAGGGCCAATTATCTCCCACCCCAGAAGTCTCGCCCGTTGTGTGGGGGAAAAAAGAGAAAAAGGGGTGGGGGGGGGGGGGGGCGGTGTTGGCGCTGTTGTCGCCGGGTATCATCATTTAGGGGGAGGGGGAGGACAAATAGCAAAATATATGTTTTAAAAAAATTATATAAATTCAAATATGGTGAAAAGGTAAGGGTAGGGGAGGTGGGGGCATGAAATGTACCATACGCAACACCATGTTACCTTGCTACGACACCGACCCCTACCATATATGTTCTTGGGGGGGGGGGGGTGGTGCAAGGTGGCGAAGTGTTCTGAGTTGCCACGCCTTTGAACCCTGTCTCTATATGTAACACTGAGTGTTTGATCATCTTATGTCCACTGTCTCTATATGTAACACTGACTGTTTGACCATCTTATGTCCCCTGTCTCTGTATGTAACACTGAGTGTTGGATCATCTTATGTCCCCTGTCTCTATATGTAACACTGAGTGTTTGATCATCTTATGTCCCCTGTCTCTATATGTAACACTGAGTGTTTGATCATCATATGTCCCCTGTCTCTGTATGTAACACTGAGTATTTGATCATCTTATGTCACCTTTCTCTGTATGTAACACTGAGTGTTGGATCATCGTATGTCCCCTGTCTCTATATGTAACACTGACTGTTTGACCATCTTATGTCCCCTGTCTCTGTATGTAACACTGAGTGTTGGATCATCTTATGTCCCCTGTCTCTATATGTAACACTGAGTGTTTGATCATCTTATGTCCCCTGTCTCTATATGTAACACTGAGTGTTTGATCATCATATGTCCCCTGTCTCTATATGTAACACTGAGTATTTGATCATCTTATGTCCCCTGTCTCTGTATGTAACACTGAGTGTTGGATCATCGTATGTCCCCTGTCTCTATATGTAACACTGAGTGTTGGATCATCATATGTCCCCTGTCTCTATATGTAACACTGAGTGTTTGACCATCTTATGTCCCCTGTCTCTATATGTAACACTGAGTGTTTGATCATCTTATGTCCCCTGTCTCTGTATGTAACACTGAGTGTTTGATCATCTTATGTCCCCTGTCTCTGTATGTAACACTGAGTGTTTGATCATCTTATGTCCCCTATCTCTGTATGTAACACTGAGTGTTTGATCATCTTATGTCCCCTGTCTGTGTATGTAACACTGAGTGTTTGATCATCTTATGTCCCCTGTCTCTGTATGTAACACTGACTGTTTGACCATCTTATGTCCCCTGTCTCTGTATGTAACACTGACTGTTTGACCATCTTATGTCCCCTGTCTCTGTATGTAACACTGAGTGTTTGATCATCATATGTCCCCTGTCTCTGTATGTAACACTGAGTGTTTGATCATCTTATGTCCACTGTCTCTATATGTAACACTGAGTGTTTGATCATCATATGTCCACTGTCTCTATATGTAACACTGAGTGTTTGATAATCATGTCAACTGTCTCTGTATGTAACACTGAGTGTTTGATCATCATATGTCCACTGTCTCTATATGTAACACTGAGTGTTTGATCATCATATGTCCCCTGTCTCTATATGTAACACTGAGTGTTTGATCATCATATGTCCCCTGTCTCTGTATGTAACACTGAGTGTTTGATCATCATATGTCCACTGTCTCTATATGTAACACTGAGTGTTTGATCATCATATGTCCCCTGTCTCTATATGTAACACTGAGTGTTTGATCATCATATGTCCCCTGTCTCTGTATGTAACACTGAGTGTTTGATCATCATATGTCCACTGTCTCTATATGTAACACTGAGTGTTTGATCATCATATGTCCCCTGTCTCTATATGTAACACTGAGTGTTTGATCATCATATGTCCCCTGTCTCTGTATGTAACACTGAGTGTTTGATCATCATATGTCCCCTGTCTCTATATGTAACACTGAGTGTTTGATCATCATATGTCCCCTGTCTCTGTATGTAACACTGAGTGTTTGATCATCTTATGTCCCCTGTCTCTGTATGTAACACTGAGTGTTTGATCATCTTATGTCCCCTGTCTCTGTATGTAACCCTGAGTGTTTGATCATCTTATGTCCTCTGTCTCTGTATGTAACACTGAGTGTTTGATCATCTTATGTCCCCTGTCTCTGTATGTAACACTGAGTGTTTGATCATCTTATGTCCCCTGTCTCTGTATGTAACACTGAGTGTTTGATCATCTTATGTCCCCTGTCTCTGTATGTAACACTGAGTGTTTGATCATCTTATGTCCCCTTGTCTCTGTATGTAACACTGAGTGTTTGATCATCTTATGTCCCCTGTCTCTGTATGTAACACTGAGTGTTTGATCATCTTATGTCCCCTGTCTCTGTATGTAACACTGAGTGTTTGATCATCTTATGTCCCCTGTCTCTGTATGTAACACTGAGTGTTTGATCATCATATGTCCCCTTGTCTCTGTATGTAACACTGAGTGTTTGATCATCTTATGTCCCCTGTCTCTGTATGTAACACTGACTGTTTGATCATCTTATGTCCCCTGTCTCTGTATGTAACACTGAGTGTTTGATCATCTTCTGTCCCCATGTGTCGGTGTGTAACACTGAGTGTTTGATCATCTTCTGTCCCCATGTGTCGGTGTGTAACACTGAGTGTTGTGTCCCCAGGATCAGCGTGTGCCGGTGCCTGTAACAGCAACCCCTGCAGCTGTGGTGACGACTGTCGATGCGGAGCTGGCTGTTCCTGTGCTCAGTGCCACTCCTGCCAGTGCAACAGTGAGTTATCTGTCCTTAGCTCAGGCACTCCAGAGCGACTCACAGTGTCATCCTTATTATTATTATTATTTTTATTATTATTATTATTATTATTATTATTATTATTATTATTTCTTTGTTTTAATTTTGTATGTTCCAAATGTTCAAAAACATACTAAAATTATCAGATTTACAGAGCCAAACACCAGAGACAAGAAAATGACAATATAGCGATCAGAACAACAATGAGAACACACACAATATCTGACCTGAAATGACTTTGCTACGATTTTCAAGTATTATTTAAACCATAGCCATCTAACATTTTTTATGTTGCAGCCTTCATAGGCCAGGCTTCTTTAATAAATGTGTCCTTTTTTTGGTACTTTCTTTCTGTCCCTCCCTCTTTTTGTTTAAGTTCATGTTTATTTTTCTAGCTGTCTCTATTTTAATCCTCTTTTTAAATTTGTTTACATATAGGATTGTGTTACTTAAATTTTCTTTCTTTCTTTCTTTCTTTCTTTCTTTCTTTTTTTCTTTCTTTCTTTCTTTCTTTCTTTCTTTCTTTCTTTCTTTCTTTCTTTCTTTCTTTCTTTCTTTCTTTCTTTCTTTCTTTCTTTCTTTCTTTCTTTCTTTCTTTCTTTCTTTCTTTCTTTCTTTCTTTCTTTCTTTCTTTCTTTCTTTCTTTCTTTCTTTCTTTCTTTCTGTCTGTCTGTCTGTCTGTCTGTCTGTCTGTCTGTCTGTCTGTCTGTCTGTCTGTCTGTCTGTCTGTCTGTCTGTCTGTCTGTCTGTCTGTCTGTCTGTCTGTCTGTCTGTCTGTCTGTCTGTCTGTCTGTCTGTCTGTCTGTCTGTCTGTCTGTCTGTCTGTCTGTCTGTCTGTCTGTCTGTCTGTCTGTCTGTCTGTCTGTCTGTCTGTCTGTCTGTCTGTCTGTCTGTCTGTCTGTCTGTCTGTCTGTCTGTCTGTCTGTCTGTCTGTCTGTCTGTCTGTCTGTCTGTCTGTCTGTCTGTCTTTCTTTCTTTCTTTCTTTCTTTCTTTCTTTCTTTCTTTCTTTCTTTCTTTCTTTCTTTCTTTCTTTCTTTCTTTCTTTCTTTCTTTCTTTCTTTCCTTTTCTTTCTTCTGTCTATCTTTTTCTTTTTCTTTCTTTCTTTCCCACATGCCTGCCTGCCTAATTTTAGTTACGTTATAATATTTCTTTAGGCTTTAAGATGTTTTGCTCATAAATCTACATCTTCTTCAGTACCATATCCTAGCACATTTGCACATGTCAATTATCAATGTCACCTGTCATCACGATTGTCCACAGATGACAGCTGCAAATGTGGCAACCAGTGCTCGGGCAGTGGAGCCTGCAAGTGTGGCTCATGTGGCTGCAAGTAAAGAACATCTTCCACATTTTCACACGAATCCTGCTTCGTCCTTTGACTGGGTCTTTACAACAAGACTAAAGAAACACATCAGTGACATCACAATTCGTTAATTAAAACATCTTCCTCAAAATATATTTGCATCTGTGAATGCAGTTAGGCAGTTTGTTCTTTATGTTCTTTTTGGTTTTATTTAATTAAAACAAAAAATGCGAACGAATTGTCATGTTTCTTTTTTACAGGATTTGATTTAATTCAGCAACGCATTGGGCATTTCCTTAAGTGCTCCGTCCCCATCTGTAGCAGCTAGCGCAGAGCCCCAATAACAATGATGCCAGTATCAGTCTGATTATCTATCCGACTTACCTTTCCTCCGGGCGTCGAGTATCGGCCAGATCCCCTCGTCCCTCTTCGCTGCATCACTGTTGACAGACTGTGATGATCAGCTTGCTCCTCCGGTTTATGCACGCGCTCTCATGAGGTTTAAACCATGTCTTCCATGTCAGTATTTCACTAGGATGTGCAAACCCAGCGAATCTGTCCGTCTATTCATTTCCTAACACACCAGAATGACCCAGACATAAGATCCAGACAATGCTCCTCACCCGTGACTTCCAAAGAAAAGCTTGCCACTCTGCAGGAAGCATTCTTGTCCTCACCTGACTCAACATGCTTTCTAAGTCAGTTACAATCACGCTATGTGTGTTAGTGTGTATGTGTGTGTGTGTGTGTGTGTGTGCCATGTTCTCTAGCCAGCGGAAAGCTGTAGTGACCGCCTCCACCTCCATTCTCAAGCTGGATGTTATCATTTTCTAGACTCTCACAACCAAACGCCGACCATTAGCTTTTGCTAAGAATACCCAAGAGCACTTCCTTTGCCTCTTGACACTGAACCATCTGTACTTTTGTCTTATATTTGACAGCCTGTTCAGCCTCTGAAGATGTGATAACTGGCGTGACATGGTGTAGCTCGAAGCTATGTGAGGCTGAAGATTAAGTCGCTATGCTTTAGCCAATGATCTAAAATACACATGCACCAAACCAGTTACTTAGAGGCACAAGTCACCTTCTCTGTCTGGTCTCTCTCTCTCTCTCTCTCTCTCTCTCTCTCTCTCTCTCCCCCTTCTGTGTGTGTGTGTGTGTGTCTGTCTGTATGTATGTCTGCCTCTCTCTCTCTTTCTCTCTGTGTGTGTGTGTGTGTGTGTGTGTCTGTCTGTCTGTCTGTCTGTCTGTCTGTCTGTCTGTCTGTCTGTCTGTCTGTCTGTCTGTCTGTCTGTCTGTCTGTCTGTCTGTCTGTCTGTCTGTCTGTCTGTCTGTCTGTCTGTCTGTCTGTCTGTCTGTCTTTCTGTCTGTCTGTCTCTGTCTCTGTCTCTGTCTCTCTCTCTCTCTCTCTCTCTCTCTCTCTCTCTCTCTCTCCCCTCTGTGTGTGTGTGTGTCTGTCTGTATGTATGTGTGCCTCTCTCTCTCTTTCTCTCTGTGTGTGTGTGTGTGTCTGTCTGTCTGTCTGTCTGTCTGTCTGTCTGTCTGTCTGTCTGTCTGTCTGTCTGTCTGTCTGTCTGTCTGTCTGTCTGTCTGTCTGTCTGTCTGTCTGTCTGTCTGTCTGTCTGTCTGTCTGCCTGCCTGTCTGTCTGTCTGTCTGTCTGTCTGTCTGTCTGTCTGTCTGTCTTTCTGTCTGTCTGTCTGTCTCTGTCTCTGTCTCTGTCTCTCTCTCTCTCTCTCTCTCTCTCTCTGTGTCTCTCTCTTTCTCTCTCAATATATATATATTCATATATATAAAACAGTCTCTGTCTCTCTCTTTCTCTCTCCACTGTCCCTTCAGCCACCTTCCTTCCCCAACAACTTGTTATCCAGTAAACGCACGCTCAATTAACAAACTCATCATTTTCTCACGTGCCACTGCGTTCTCGTTATCCGCAGACAAATAAGTTCCTGTGACCACACTCCCACCCACTGATCACTGCCCCCTAACCCCCACAGCCCCAATCAAGAAATGTCTTTCTATTATTTATTTCTCTATTATTTCTGTTCCGGATGTGTGAACATCTCGTAGTCGGGGAAGTTTTGTATTATTTCTGTTCCAGATGTGTGAACATCTCGTAGTCGGGGAAGTGCAGCAGGGATTCTCACAGCACATACTGCTGTTAACGAACAAAGACAAGTATGTTCCATGGTTCCCGGTCCGATCACACAGAAATAGCATACTGAACTAGCCAGTCACACAGAAATAGCATACTGAACTAGCCAGTCACACAGAAATAGCGTACTGAACTAGCCAGTCACACAGAAATAGCATACTGAACTAGCCAGTCACACAGAAATAGCATACTGAACTAGCCAGTCACACAGAAATAGCATACTGAACTAGCCAGTCACACAGAAATAGCATACTGAACTAGCCAGTCACACAGAAATAGCGTACTGAACTAGCCAGTCACACAGAAATAGCATACTGAACTAGCCAGTCACCAGTCACACAGAAATAACATACTGAACTAGCCAGTCACACAGAAATAGCATACTGAACTAGCCAGTCACACAGAAATCGCGTACTCAACTAGCCAGTCACACAGAAATAACATACTAAATTGCCATTGCCAGTTGTCCAAGAAAAATTCCAAACTTGATCCTCTTTCAGCCGCCCGAGGGCCTGCTATATCGAAGAAGGGTCCTTTGCTGTCTTATATGGTTTCCTTTTATTTGTGGTGTGTAGACACACCTGATATTATTGTTGTTTGCTTCCTTGCTGTGCTGCGTTGTTTGCGGTTTTTGGTTCTGGTGTGATCCAGATCTCTTTGCGATTATGTTGAAGGGTACTAGCCGACTGTTGCTGGTGCTTGGTTTGCCTCGTGCTGGTCGCTGTGCTGGTGCCCTGTTGCTGCTTGGTTGCCGATCTAAAAGCCGCCGGAAAAAGCCAAACAAATATCCGTTGCCCCGTCGATGCACAATGTTCCTTTTCAGGACAACCAGGGCCGTCACAATCTGTTGTTGTGATCGGCCCAAAAAAAAACAAAATTTTTTTTTTTTTTTTCCACGGAGTGTGGAGAAGTAGTGGAAGTGAGATAGACTGCAAACGAGAGGTCAGTTTGCCCGAATGTGCCAGTAGATGTGATAGTGAGGTCGGGAGAATGAGAGTGACAGATAGAGGCAGGATCCATCCCGGTCGGCTGAGGTCGCTTGGTCTGAAATAAAAGTGAAAGGCAATTGTTAACATACACGTGGGGTGGGGTGGGGTGGCATGACGGTGACTGGAGTTCCCAAGTGCAGGTCCCCTTTGGTGCAATGCCCTCGGCTGTCTGCTTCGGGGCGTCGGGCGGCCTGTGGTATTTTCCGTTGTCTTCTTTTTTCTGAAAATAAACTAGTTTAAGATTTTGGTTAGTTCAATGGTGATTACGTGGTTATTTGCCAGTGTGGGCGGAGCGGGTGGGAGTGGCTCCGGTACGTCGACCCGCTGTCCGGTTGGTGGTTGTTTGTTTTAGGCTGTCCTTAAAGATGGCGGCTTGTTTGGTGGGCTCTTTAGAATTGGCGGTTGCCTCTTCTATTCTGCTTTTTCTTTTTGGCGCCCGGAGCTGGTCCAGGGCTGCGTTTAACTCGTCGCAGAGTCGGCCAGCTCTATTGCTCTTTTCAAGCAGTTCAGGTGTTTCGCCTTCATCTCCGTATTCCTCGAAAGAGTAGCCGACGACGTAGTGGTCGACCTCGTCGAAATACTCCAGCGTGTGCGGAGCCGCCAGCTTGTTGTACTCTTCAACCCTCGCTTTAAGGTCGTCGAAGCTAGTTATTTTGGCTGCTGCTGTTTGGCTCACGCGTGGGGTGGCTGGCAGTCTGACGGGTGCCTCGCTTCGTTCTTCGATTGTCGCGGTATCTGTCATCTGTGCCTGGTGTTGTGTCATTACTATCTCGGTAGCTGTGCTTTTGTCGGCTTTGATAATCGGTTGCTTTACAGCTTTCCTGGAAGCCTCTCTTTCTTTCTCAAGCAGGGCGCGCTCTGTTCTTGCCGCCAGCACTGCAGCTTCTGCTTCTGCTTTTGTCTGAATCATAAGAGTGACTTCCTTGTAAGTGCTCTCGCGGGCTTCCCTAAGTGCGTCGGTTTCTTTTCGTCTCTCCTCCCTTTCTTCCTGTCGGCGGGTCCCGTCTGCAGCTTTTTCTGCTTGTAATTTTAGCGTCATTTCTGTCAGGTTTTCTTGCATTCGTGCAGCCTCTGCTAGCCACTTTGTTTGCTGCAATACTTGTTCTTGTCTGTCGTCTTTCAATGCTTTGATTTCGTTACGCATCTGAGAGATCAGGTCTAGCATCTGCGTTCTGTCAGCGTCGGTGTCGGACTTTTCTTTGCGGAGAGCTCTGATTTCCGCTAAGATTTCAGAGATTTTTTCAGGGTCCATTGCGGCTGTGATCGTCTTGTCGGTTAGTCTGTCTGTTGTCCGTTGTGCTGGCTTCCCACTCGGTTGCTTTGGTGCTGCTGAGGACCTGGGTGCCACGTATCTCTGTCTGGCTGCTTCGTGGGTGGTTCTAAGTGACCTTTTGCACTGCTGGAGATACGGGCATCCCATGTATCTCGCGCCGTGCGCACCGGAACAGTTGGAGCACTTGCGGTTGCTGTTCGGTCTTTTAAAATTGGTGTCAATTTTAGCCAGCGGGCACTCCTTGAATTCGTGCGTACCAGAACAGAATCTGCACGAGAGGCTGCTGTGGCAGGACGAAGCTGTATGCCACGCCTTATTGCAGCGTGAGCACTGCATGATGTCTGGTATGCTGGTCATAGGCTGCCGCTGCTTGCGTTGGCGAGGGGGTCCTTGCGTCGCTACTGAGGCGGCATCAGGCACCCCTGAAGGGTCGGCTCCCGGAGGAGCGGTCTCCTGTGCTGGTGATTCGATCGTAATGGGCGCAGTGTCCATTTTCTACGACGATTATAAAAAGTTCTCGAATTTATTTAGAGGTTAAACGCACGCCCTAGGTTTCGGTTTAAAGAGTTTATAATGTAAATTATAATTACCTAGGGCGTTGTTCCTTCCTCTGTTG